ACATGTATGGGCCTATTGGCCCATACATAGGTATTAATAGGGGCTATTGGCCTATATGATGCAGCTCTTATTGTATATACACCTAATGCCATTCATATATTTGTCATTGTATCTCACTTCACCTCTCCTGCCTATATATGTCCAAACTTACTGAATTGCAAATCATTCCTTCTGAAGATTATTATTAAATACTAAAATACTAAAGGAAATTCCTGTTTCAATTCTTCCTCCGTGGTCTGACACTGTCATATATATATATATATATATATATATATATATATATATATATATATATATATATATATATATATATATATATATATATATATATATATGTATATATGTATATTTGTATATATATATATATATATATATATATATATATATATATATATATATATATATATATATATATATATATATATATTAGTACATTTTGGTAGCAGTCTTTCCTGTAGACATATTATTAAATATGACCGAAAATATGTGTGTGTGTGTGTATATATATATATATATATATATATATATATATATATATATATATATATATATATATATATATATATATATACACTGCAAGTGTGATTCAAGACAAATACTCCTGTTTCTGTTTGAACACACACAGCTAAGTTCATATTGCTGCCTCTGGATACTATTTTTACTCTAGTGAAATGGTAGTGTTTCGAAACAGTGTTATGTATTGGATGGAAGAATAATTCTGACATGCACACAGTGGTATTATATTTGGCCTAAACTGACACTGCGTCAAACATTGCGTCAAACACTGCGTCAAACAGATGCCCTGTATTTGGCACTGTATTTGAGCTGACGTTCCATCTGGCACATGTTGGCACATTGTACTCATCTAGTTGTGCTTACGAGGGTTGAGCTTCGGCTCTTTGGTCTCGCCTCTCAACTGGTGTTCAGAATTGTGGTGCTCCCCTTCTGGTGGGTCTCCGCCCCCCTCAGGACAGTTTTGGAGACTGGATAGTGGGCCCGGGGAAGCATTTTGGAGCAATATTAATATAGGAAATATTTGGTGCAGGGCGATAGAATCGAACTCTCGTCCTGTTCCTAGTATTTCATATGTGAATATTTGGTGCAGTGCGATAGAATCGAACTCTCTCTTGTCTTGCTCCTAGTATTTCCTATATGAATATTTGGTGCAAGGCGATAGAATCGAACTCTCTCTCGTCTTGCTCCTAGTATTTCCTATGTGAATATTTGGTGCAGTGCGATAGAATTGAACTCTCTCTCGTCTTGCTCCTAGTATTTCCTATATGAATATTTGGTGCAGGGCGATAGAATTGAACTCTCTCTCGTCTTGCTCCTAGTATTTCCTATGTGAATATTTGGTGCAGTGCGATAGAATCGAACTCTCTCTCGTCTTGCTCCTAGTATTTCCTATGTGAATATTTGGTGCAGGGCGATAGAATCGAACTCTCGTCCTGTTCCTAGTATTTTCTCACAGATTTATCAGGCTATTGTGATTTCATTGTGCAATATTCGCAAAGGTTTACATTTCATTTATTTCACCAGAAATGTACAACATGAAATATTTCTTACAGTTTGCTCACACAGAGTACTTTATGAACTCTGGGGGGGGGGGGGGATCAAAGTATACTTTGAGGCTGATAAATAAAGTAGATTGCTTCTTCATTCATTTTGTTGAGAGACCTCACGGCTAACCCATGTTTATTCTTAGCTAAGTAGCATAAGCAAGGCATCAGTCACACTAAAAAGAAATGATTGATTGGTTTAATTATTATTTGGGGGGTTGACACACTAGAAATATCTGAACCTTATGTAGACGGAACAAAGCGCTCAGTTTACGTCGAGATTCCACAAAGGGGCTGTTAACAGCTCCTTATTTCTGTTGAGACGCATCTTGCAGTTTCATCTCCTTTGGTGAGACACATCTTCTAGATTTATCTTCTTCAATGTGATACATCATCCAGATTCATCTTTTATGATGAGACTCATCATCTTTGATTAGAGATCTTCCTGATTCATCTTCTCCTTTAATGAGATACTTCTTGCAGATTCATCCAGATTTCTTTAATGCTAGTGAATGATAAACACCAGGTGAACCCCTTCCTTTCGAATCCCGGGGCAATGCGAGACGTTTTCAGGCGTTTCTTTCCTCTTGATGTTTCTGTTCACCCAGCAGTAAATAGATGCCATGGAGGTAGTCAACTGTTGTTGGGTTGCGTCCTGGGGGGAAGGATAGTCATTGACTAAGGGAGGGACCTCGTCAGAATGCTTTGAGGGGATATCAGATGATTTCAGGGCTTAGCGTCCCTGCGGCCCGGTCCTCGACCAGGCCTCCTTTTTATTACACATTCCCAGGAAGCAGCCCGTAGCAGCTGTCTAACTCCCAGGTACCTTCTTGATTAAATTTTTACCGGTCGCAACTTGAATCTCAAATCCTGTCTTGGCCCACGATTTATCAAGGGTTTAATTGTTTACGTACGAAACCAGTGCATCTGTCCTCGTTCATGGAGGCCAGTCTGTGCTTATTAAGCAATATACGAGCTTCAGAACTTTAAAACTAAATGTTATTATTCTGTTGTGGAAAGACAAAGCAAAATCAGGTCCTCATCACTTGATAAGGGGTTAAGGACCGACCGAAACATCGCCACATAAGGGTCCAGGACGGGCCGAAGCGTTGCCACATAAGGGGTCCAGGACCGAAACATCGCCACATAACGGGTACAGGACGGACCGAAACGTCGCCACATAAAGGTCCAGGACCGACCGAAACATCGCCACATAAGGGGTCTAGAACCGACCGAAACATCGCCACATAAGGGGTCCAGGACCGACCGAAACATCGTCACATTAGGGCCCAGGACCGACCGAAACATCGCCACATAAGGGGTCTAGAACCAACCGAAACATCGCCACATAAGGATCCAGGACCGACCGAAACATCGCCACATAAGGGGTCTAGGACAGACCGAAACATCGCCACATAAGGGTCCAGGACCGACCGAAACATCGCCACATAAGGATCCAGGACCGACCGAAACATCGCCACATAAGGGGTCCAAGACCGACCGAAACATCGCCACATAAGGGGCCCAGGACCGACCGAAACATCGCCTAAGTGTGGGTCGGGTCATGTGTTACAACCGCTCTATTGTATCATTATTCCCTGCATAGTTAAAATAGTTAATAGTTAGTTAACATAGTTAGATAGATAGTTAACAACTATCTCCTGGTTTACGGCTATGAACTAGCCCACAAGGCTTAGGACGGCGTTATTTGAAAGCCGTCTACAATGAATTAAATTTTTGTTATAGGGGGGATGTGTATATTTTTATGAAGGGGGGGAGAGGGGGGGGCTGTGTATTTATGGTCTGAATGTCATAAAGGCTCTTACTGTATTATTTAAATTGTATCCATTTCATGGATTTATATAATAAAAATGATCAGTATTTAATTTTAGTATTGTGATGCATCAGTGGCAGTTTATGGAGAGTGTCATGTTTTTATTATAATGGATCGTGTTCCGTTTCTCTGATTCGAAAATTCGAACGTTTTGGATCGTGTTCCGAGTGGAGAGTGTCATGTTTTTATTATAATGGATCGTGTTCCGTTTCTCTGATTCGAAAATTCGAACATTTTGGATCGTGTTCTGTTTTTGTAATTTGTTTTGTTAGTGCCTGGAGTAGGTGGCTTCAGACCACGTGTAGCTGGAAGCAATAAGCCTTGGGGGGGGGGGGGGTTTCTATGTAGCCTTGAGGAACTACATAGCCCCTCCCCAAGGCTACATAGCCTTGGGGGGGGGGTTCTATGTAGCCTTGGGGAGCTACATAGCCCCCCTTTGGCTACATAGCCTTGAGGGGGGGTTCTATGTAGCCTTGGGGAGCTACATAGCCCCTCCCCAAGGCTACATAGCCTTGGGGGGGGCTATTTAGCCTCTGATGGGCAGAATTTGACAACTAATTATCTTTAGCCTGAATTGCGAAATGTTTTTTTTTTTTTGTCAATATATCAACATTTTTTTTACACCATTTTTTTCCATTTATTGTCGACACACATAAGCCCGCGGCTCGTGTCAGGTGTTCGTTGTTGATGTAAGATTTCGTGACCATTTTGTCATTGATTTGGACCGTCTTTGAAGATGTGATTGATTTGGACCGTCTTTGAAGATGTGATTGATTTGGACCGTCTTTGAAGATGTGATTGATTTGGACCGTCTTTGAAGATGTGATTGATCTGGACCGTCTTTGAAGATGTGATTGATTTGGACCGTCTTTGAAGATGTGATTGATCTGGACCGTCTTTGAAGATGTGATTGATCTGGACCGTCTTTGAAGATGTGATTGATTTGGACCGTCTTTGAAGATGTGATTGATTTGGACCGTCTTTGAAGATGTGATTGATTTGGACCGTCTTTGAAGATGTGATTGATCTGGACCGTCTTTGAAGATGTGATTGATCTGGACCGTTTTTGAAGATGTGATTGATTTGGACCGTCTTTGAAGATGTGATTGATCTGGACCGTCTTTGAAGATGTGATTGATTTGGACCGTCTTTGAAGATGTGATTGATTTGGACCGTCTTTGACGACCGAAACGTCTTGGTCTCCTCATCTTGTGATGTGGGGGTTTGGTCATCATATCTTCAGCCACGACTGAAGATACAATGACCAAACTCAAATTTGTGACTCATTGTCTCAAATTCTTTATTTTAGCTGTGGTAAAGTACTGTACATTGCGGACCAAGTGAACAGTTAGCCGTGCTTGGTAATGTCTCGTGTTCCAGTAGACATGAGGGATTCATTAAACATTTAAACTACCACTTACGGAACCTGTACATCTTTTCCCGAATCGTGGCGGCTTTTTATTTTACATTTATTAGTTAACGAGCGTGAAAACTTTATAAACCAAAGTTATTATTGATGTAAACAACTTCGTGGTGCCTCCAGGCTTATTAAACTGCTTAGTAAATGTAAACAAAAACGCTATAATTGAGGAAAGATGGACAGGCACCTTAAGTGCTTGCGTGCACTTAAGTGCTTGCGTGCACTTAAGTGCTTGCGTGCATGCTTGGTGAATCCTGGCTCTGTATCGTGTTCCAGCAGACATCTTGTTGTACGGTATCCTTAGGGAGTCCCCTGCGAATCTTGGGGAGCCTTGGGGATTCATGGGGAGCCTTGGGGATTCCTGAGGAGTCTTGGGGATCCTTGAATATTCCTGGGAATCCTTGGAGATTCCTGGGGATCCTTGGATATTCCTTAGGAGCCTTGGATATTCCTTAGGAGCCTTGGGTATTCCTGGGGATCCTTGGATATTCCTGAGGAGCCTTGGGGATTCCTTGGGAGCCTTGGGGATTCCTGGGGAGCCTTGGGGATTCCTGAGGAGCCTTGCGTATTCCTGAAGAGCCTTGGGGATTCCTGGGGAGCCTTGGGGATTCCTGAGGAGCTTTGGGGATTCCTGTGGATCCTTGGGTATTCCTGGGGAGCTTTGGGTATTCCTGGGGATTCCTGGGTAGCTTTGGGGATTCCTGCGGATCCTTGGGGATTCCTGAGGAGCTTTGGGTATTGCTTGGGATTTCTGGGTATTCCTGTGGGGATCTTTAGGTAACTCTGGGGATTCTTAAGTAACTGGGGATCCTTGGTTATTACGTAGGATTTTTGGGAATGCCTGTAATTTTTTGCTTCTCCTTGGAGGATATTTAGCTATCTCTGCGGGTCGCTGGATATCCCTGGGATGTCATTGGTTATCATGTGTTGATAAATATGATAAAGTTATACACTCGAATTGTACTATTATGTAAAGTGGTGTTTGGGTCTGTGTGTGAACTGACAGAAATATCACGATAACGTGATATATCAAATGATCATCCAACGCATAAGTTCGAAACCTGATCAAGGGGTCATGTGGATTTGTTCAACGATACTGTTGGTGCATGTCGGAAGGTTGAGAGGCAGTAGAGAGAGCACTAAAAGGCACATTTGCGAACAATTATGTGTTTCACGGCAGGTGGGGGGGAACTTTTACTTTTCATCATTCGACAGTTCTGTCGAATGATGACTGTCGAATGATGAGAGGTGAGTGGTGAAGCTCCAGGAGGTCTATAATTATCATGTGCTTCTAGTGTAGTGCACCCAGTTTGTACCCTCATTTGGGTTGTATCCTCATTTGGGTAGTATCCTCATTTGGGAAGTATCCTCATTTGGGAAGTATCCTCATTTGGGAAGTATCCTCATTTGGGTAAAGAGGAAACTAGATTTATTCCTCCAAGGAGTGCCGGACCAACCGGGCTGTGGTGGGTATGTGGGCCTGCGGGCCGCTCCAAGCAACAGCCTAGTAGACCAAACTCTCACAAATCAAGTTGGGAAGTAGAAGAACTCCCAGAGCCCCATCAACCAGGGTAGTACCCTTATTTGGGTAGTATCCTCATTTGGGTAGAACCCTCATTTGGGTAGTATCCTCATTTGGGTAGTACTCTCATTTGGGTAGTATCCTCATTTGGGTAGTACCCTCATTTGGGTAGTATCCTCATTTGGGTAGTATCCTCATTTGGGTAGTACCCTCATTTGGGTAGTATCCTCATTTGGGTAGAACCCTCATTTGGGTAGTATCCTCATTTGGGTAGTACCCTCATTTGAGTAGTTGTTTCTAATCAGGGTTTTTTTCTAATCTATCTGAGAGAAGGATTCTGGATTGTTTTTATTTTAATTTATCTGAATATATCTATCTCAGTTGACCAGACTTTAGTGCACGTGTGGGAGGGGAGCCGACAGCTCGCTGTGGCTCCTGAGGACAGTTGTGTTTCCAGGGGCAAGGTTATGTGATGAATGTTTTGCATTTTATAATAATACAAAACATACCAAAACATCAGGAAAGGAATATTAGGACATACATTCTTTAGAATGTAAATGCCTCAGGAAATATAATGTTTTAAGGGTTCAAAGAAGACCGGAAATATATTCTCTTGGCCTCTAGGGTGTCAAGCCCTTAGGAAATAATTTCTCTGGAGTGTCAAGCCCTCAGGAAATAATTTCTCTGCAGTGTCAAGCCCTCAGGAAATAATTTCTCTGGAGGGTCAAGCCCTCAGGAAATAATTTCTCTGCAGTGTCAAGCCCTCAGGAAATAATTTCTCTGCAGTGTCAAGCCCTCAGGAAATAATTTCTCTGGAGGGTCAAGCCCTCAGGAAATAATTTCTCTGCAGTGTCATGCCCTCAGGAAATAATTTCTCTGCAGTGTCAAGCCCTCAGGAAATAATTTCTCTGGAGGGTCAAGCCCTCAGGAAATAATTTCTCTGGAGGGTCAAGCCCTCATGAAATAATTTCTCTACAGTGTCAAGCCCTCAGGAAATAATTTCTCTGGAGGGTCAAGCCCTCAGGAAATAATTTCTCTGCAGTGTCAAGCCCTCAGGAAATAATTTCTCTGGAGGGTCAAGCCCTCAGGAAATAATTTCTCTGGAGGGTCAAGCCCTCAGGAAATAATTTCTCTGGAGTGTCAAACCCTCAGGAAATAATTTCTCTGCAGTGTCAAGCCCTCAGGAAATAATTTCTCTACAGTGTCAAGCCCTCAGGAAATAATTTCTCTGGAGGGTCAAGCCCTCAGGAAATAATTTCTCTGCAGTGTCAAGCCCTCAGGAAATAATTTCTCTGCAGTGTCAAGCCCTCAGGAAATAATTTCTCTGGAGGGTCAAGCCCTCAGGAAATAATTTCTCTGGAGGGTCAAGCCCTCAGGAAATAATTTCTCTGCAGTGTCATGCCCTCAGGAAATAATTTCTCTGCAGTGTCATGCCCTCAGGAAATAATTTCTCTGCAGTGTCAAGCCCTCAGGAAATAATTTCTCTGGAGGGTCAAGCCCTCAGGAAATAATTTCTCTGCAGTGTCAAGCCCTCAGGAAATAAACCCAGAAGACCGTAATGCTTTCTTAACCCTAACCCTTGACACAACATACCTGTTGATTGACGGTTGAGAGGCGGGACCAAAGAGCCAGAGCTCAACCCCCGCAAGCACAATTAGGTGAGTACACCCTAAGCTCGCTAGAACCGAAGCATTATGAACTCCAGGCTCTATGTACCCAAGCCTTCACGGGCCCTAAGATCATTACAAGCGAAGCATGATGGCCTCTTGTTTCTATGAATCCAAAACATTCAGGCAACCTAACCCGGCTGGAGTCTTCAGTCGACCTTTTGTTTCTATGAATCCAAAACATTCAGGCAACCTAACCCGGCTGGAGTCTTCAGTCGACCTTTTGTTTCTATGAATCCAAAACATTCAGGCAACCTAACCCGGCTGGAGTCTTCAGTCGACCTTTTGTTTCTATGAATCCAAAACATTCAGGCAACCTAACCCGGCTGGAGTCTTCAGTCGACCTTTTGTTTCTATGAATCCAAAACATTCAGGCAACCTAACCCGGCTGGAGTCTTCAGTCGACCTTTTGTTTCTATGAATCCAAAACATTCAGGCAACCTAACCCGGCTGGAGTCTTCAGTCTTATGGTCCTGAAGCCTCTTGAAGATAACGGCTTGATAACGTGAAGAGTGGGCTTGATTGTGTACTCACCTAGTTGTGCTTGCGGGGGTTGAGCTCTGGCTCTTTGGTCCCGCCTCTCAACCGTCAGTTAACTGGTAATTACCTAAGTGTAATTACCTAAGTGTAGTTACAGGATGAGAGCTACGCTCGTGGTGTCCCGTCTTCCCAGCACTCTTTGTCATATAACGCTTTGAAACTACTGACGGTCTTGGCCTCCACCACCTTCTCACTTAACTTGTTCCAACCGTCTACCACTCTATTTGCGAAGGTGAATTTTCTTATATTTCTTCGGCATCTGTGTTTAGCTAGTTTAAATCTATGACCTCTTGTTCTTGAAATTCCAGGTCTCAGGAAGTCTTCCCTGTCGATTTTATCAATTCCTGTAACTATTTTGTATGTAGTGATCATATCACCTCTTTTTCTTCTGTCTTCTAGTTTTGGCATATTTAATGCTTCTAACCTCTCCTCGTAGCTCTTGCCCTTCAGTTCTGGGAGCCACTTAGTAGCATGTCTTTGCACCTTTTCCAGTTTGTTGATGTGCTTCTTAAGATATGGGCACCACACAACAGCTGCATATTCTAGCTTTGGCCTAACAAAAGTCATGAACAATTTCTTTAGTATATCGCCATCCATGTATTTAAATGCAATTCTGAAGTTAGAAAGCATAGCATAGGCTCCTTGCACAATATTCTTTATGTGGTCCTCAGGTGATAGTTTTCTATCTAGAACCACTCCTAGATCTCTTTCTTTATCAGAATTCTTTAAAGATTTCTCACATAATATATAGGTTGTGTGGGGTCTATGTTCTCCTATTCCACATTCCATAACATGACATTTATTAACATTAAATTCCATTTGCCAAGTGGTGCTCCATATACTTATTTTGTCCAGGTCTTCTTGAAGGGCATGACAGTCATCTAAATTTCTTATCCTTCCTATTATCTTAGCATCATCAGCAAACATGTTCATATAATTCTGTATACCAACTGGTAGATCATTTATGTACACAATAAACATCACTGGTGCAAGAACTGAACCCTGTGGTACTCCACTTGTGACATTTCTCCATTCTGATACATTGCCTCTGATTACTGCCCTCATTTTTCTATCAGTCAGAAAATTTTCCATCCATGATAGAAGCTTACCTGTCACCCCTCCAATATTTTCCAGTTTCCAGAACAACCTCTTATGTGGAACTCTGTCGAAAGCCTTTTTTAGGTCCAGATAGATGCAGTCAACCCAACCATCTCTTTCCTGTAATATCTCTGTGGCTCGATCATAGAAACTGAGTAAATTCGATACACAGGATCTTCCAGATCGAAAACCATACTGTCTGTCTGATATTATATCATTTCTCTCTAGGTGTTCTACCCATTTAGTTTTGATTAGTTTTTCCAATACTTTCACTATTACACTTGTCAATGATACAGGTCTATACAGGTGTACAGGTTCCTGAGCCTATTGGGCTCTATCATATCTATACTTGAAACTGTGTATGGAGTCAGCCTCCACCACATCACTGCCTAATGCATTTCATCTGTTAACTGCTCTGAAGAGAAAGAGAGTGCGTGTACTTACTGTTTTTGTCTGCAGAATCGAGCTATTAGCTCTTGGGTCCCGCCTTTCTAACCAATTTTTTATTTTTCCTCTATTATATCTACTTAACGCGCGAGCGCACACACACACACACACACAAGATCAAGTTGGTAAATTTAGATACTATAGTGAACTCTCATGTAGAAATAATTAGTAAATTGAAAGAAAGTAATGACCATTTGAATAGCAAAGTTTTATGTCTTGAGGGTTTAGTGAAAGACTTGCGCAAGGATAAGAATCAATTGGAAACAAATTGCAAAGCCATGGAAGAAGAAAATAAACTCTTAAAAATAGCTTTGGAAGAAGTTAAAGTAAATTTAAACATAAATGACTACAATAGGTTAGGCAAGGAAATTCAACAGGAGAAACAGCTTTTGTCAGCACAGATGGAGGAAGTTACACAGGGACTAGAACAGTGCAAGAAAGATATGCAACTCACTTATGCACAAGTGGCCAAGGAGAAGGAAAAAAT